GACTGGGGTTGCGCGCCCCGCGCGTTCCCGTGCGCCGTCCGCGCTCTTCGCGCGCTGCTCCGCTGCGCCCAATACGCGCGCGTGTTGTCCCGCCTTACCGCCTGCCTCGAGGCATGAGGCCTCGTCTGTTGCGCGTGCTTCCGTCGCGCCTGACTTTCCCGCGTGCGCGCCCATCGACCCCGCGCTACGTACGGCTGGCCCGTCCACGCCACGCATGCCAGCCGTGTCTACCGCCCGTGTATCCGCGTGCAGCCTATCCTCGCCCATCTCGTGCGCACTTCGCTCTAGCACGCGTACTTCTGCCGTCACTCGTGCTTGTCTCTTGCGTGCGTGATAGGCCCGGCTTTCCGCGTTCTTGAGCTGCCTAGCCACTTCCGCATCAACCATGCGCAGCGCATGGCTGATACGGAAGTGGTCATCAACCCCGGTGAGTCCGACGATGATGATGGCGATGGCCTCGATATTTGGTTGGAAAATATGTTGGAGGCGCCATCTAGTCCTATTTACCGACCATCATGTGTACGAGATTGGCCAAAAGGTTGTGGCCCAAAGCTGAGGTCGAAGGTAAGGAAACGGACGGCCAAGAGGCAACGTAAGGAAAAGGCTCGAAAAGCAAGTCAATGTTGGTGCAAGCCTTGTGCGAAGAAAAGACGAGGCCAAAGGAAGGAGGCTAAAAGGCGTGGTTTGCGATGGGTTAAAAATGGATGGTGGGTACCGGCAGATGATTGTGTGAGGTTGAAGGGTTGGGATCCATGGCCCGAGCCGACGGGAACGAGCGGTAACAAGGAAGACGACTGTGATCGGCTAATGGGCGAAGGGCGCGCATCGGCCCGTGATGCGCGTAGTTGGACCGAACAGGATGAACATGGGTACACGGCTATCGGACAGGCCACGGGCGTCGACTGGGATGCGTTGGCGTTCGACAGCACAAGAACGGGCGCACGACTAGAATACGAAGAGCGCGCATCGGGCGATGATGCGCGCGATTATGTGCCAGGCGAGGAGTCGGGCGCGTAGGGGCGCGCGGACGTTGGCTGGGACGCGTGCGAAGAAACCGGCAATGGCGCGGGGCTCGCGGACAACTGCGAGTGGACATACGCGGGCGATGCGCTGGCAGGAGCAGACCGCGACCGCACAGATTTAGGAGTACCGGGCGTAGGCGCATACGCGCGGGAGACGGTCAACGGATGCAAGTCGCGCGCTGAGCGCGCAAGTGCGGGTGACGTGAGCGGAAACCGAGACCTAGCGGGTGTAGGAGTGCTGGGCACGAATACGCACGCGCGAGCGGAAATCGGCGTGGACGAGGTGTGTGCAATGGGCGATGCGTGGGAGCAGCGCGTGCAAGAGACCGAGTCCGCCAAGGAGTGCGAGACGCGCACATGCGCGAGAGGCGGTCATGAGGTGGCGGGAATTTGGGGCAGCCGAGAGTTGTGAACATGTGAGGAGTTTTGGAGCTTCTAGAATTGCTTGGTGTGCAAGCCAAGCATTAGTTATTTGGTAGCTTTAGGATTTTATTGCTTTCTAGAGTTAGGATTTATTTTATTACATAGAATAGGAGATCTAGATCTATTAGGCTTAGATTTATTTTGCAACTAAAAATACCCCATGTACCTCATCATATTGGAGATGTCTTGGAATTGAGTATTGAATTGGTGAGCCAATTGAGGGGAACTTTATGTTCTAACGTGTGATAAACAAGGCCGTCAGTGCGTGTTTACATACAGTGTCGGAGAGAAGGCCCTGAGAGCGTCTCAAAGTCACAGTGTCTAGGAGAAGGCCGATAGTGCGTCTGTTAGATACACCTATCGTGGATAAACGAAGGCCCTGAGTGCGCCGTTTATTCACACCCAACGTATAAATAACAACACCGATCAGCGGTCCTTCATCATTGGTGCTTTCATTGAGAGGTGCTGATCGTGTTTTTATTTATCCTATCTTTTTCTTTTATTTTCGGTTTGCCTTTTGTTGATGGGCCGAATTTCTCTTCTTTTTTGGGTCGAAATTTTCGAATTTATTCGAATTTCTCATTAAAAAAAAAGTGTCATCTTGTTAGTCCTTTGTTTAATTTTTGTTAGGTTATTACCTTTTGTTGAGGGGCCGAATTTCTTTCTTGTTTTGAATTTTGAGTCTTGTTGGGGGTTCGAATTTTCGAATTTTTTCCCCCTATTTTGATCGAATTTTTTTAGAGTAAAAAAAAAATTATGTCTTACCCACCGATGGATGAGTTGGATTGGGAAGATCTGGAGATGTTGGAAGGTTTGGAAAGAGAGCTCACACCATGGGAAGCAACATATCTTGATGAGCTTCATGAGCGAAGGAATATTTAGAAGTACGAACGTCAACTCATGGAAGCCCGAGAAGCAATGGTGATCGATGCTCATGACCACGAAGAGAAAGGTGCGCTTAATTTTCTAATCCTTGAGGACAAGGAAAGTCTCGAAGAGGAGGGGAATGATACGGAAGTGGTCATCAACCCCGGTGAGTCCGACGATGATGATGGCGATG